CGACAAACAAAAGAGAGGAACTAGAGGGGGGGGGGGGGGGGGGGGCATAGTTTTGAATAGCAATTGTGCTGATTTTAATTCACAGACCTGGCAACCCTGACTACCACTTTGATGTTTAAAAAAAGTTCATAAAGAGATTAATAACACGAATCCATATGCATCCAAATTTTCCAAAGAGACTTGATAGTTTTACATGATTCATTTAATTTAATTTAGGTTTTTATTCACATATTTACATTGATCAGCAAACATAAACAGAAGCTCAACCATACTTGAAGTGCGAGAACAAACCCCACTGGTTCTTACAGAAGCTCAAACTTGCCGTGTAACACGAGAATGAGCCTCACTAGTTCTTACGGAAGCTCAAACCGTGCCACTTAACATGAGAATAGACCTCACTAGTTCTTACAGAAGCTGAAACGTGCTGCATAACACAAGACTAAACCTCAACGGTTCTTGCAGAAGCTGAAATGTTGCACATAACATGATAATGAACCTCACTGGTTCTTACGGAGGCTCAAACGTTCCACGTAACACACAACAATGAGCCTCATTGGTTCTTACAGAAGCTCAAACATGGTGCGTAACAGGAGAATGAACCTCATTGGCTCTTATGGAAGCTCAAATGTGCCGTGTAACACAAGAATAAACCTCATTAGTTCTTACAGAAGCTCAAACATGGTGCGTAACACACAAGAATAAACCTCATTGGTTCTTACGGAAGCTCAGACGCAGTGCGTAGCACTCAAGAATGAACCTCATTGGTTCTTACGGAAGCTCAAACCTGGTGCATAACATGAAAATTAACCTCATTGGTTCTTACAGAAGCTCAAACGTGGTACGTAACATGAAAATGAAACTTATTGGTTCTTACGGAAGCTCAAACGTGGTGCGTAACACAGGAGAATAAACCTCATTGGTTCTTACGGAAGCTCAAATGTGGTGCGTAACATGAAAATGAACCTCATTGGTTCTTACGGAAGCTCAAACGTGGTGCGTAACATGAGAACAAACCTCATTGGTTCTTATGGAAGCTCAAACGTGGTGCGTAACAGGAGAATGAATCTCATTGGTTCTTACAGAAGCTCAAACGTGGTGCGTAACATGAGAACAAACCTCATTGGTTCTTATGGAAGCTCAAACGTGGTGCGTAACAGGAGAATGAATCTCATTGGTTCTTACAGAAGCTCAAACGTGGTGCGTAACATGAGAACAGATTTCATTGGTTCTTAACGAAGCTCAAACACGGTGCGTAACAGGAGACTGAACCTCATTGGTTGTTACGGAAACACAAACGTAGTGCGTAACACAGGAGAATGAACCTCATTGGCTCCTATGGAAGCTCAAATGTGCCGTGTAACACAAGAATAAACCTCATTGGTTCTTACGGAAGCTCAAATGTGGTGCGTAACATGAAAATGAACATCATTGGTTCTTACAGAAGCTCAAACATGGTGCGTAACACACAAGAATGAACCTCATTGGTTCTTACGGAAGCTCAGACGCAGTGCGTAACACTCAAGAATGAACCTCATTGGTTCTTACGGAAGCTCAAACGTGGTGCGTAACATGAAAATTAACCTTATTGGTTCTTACAGAAGCTCAAACGTGCCACGTAACACACAAGAATGAACCTCATTGGTTCTTACGGAAGCTCAAACGTGGTGCGTAACATGAAAATGAACCTCATTGGTTCTTACAGAAGCTCAAACGTGCCGCGTAACACACAAGAATGAACCTCATTGGTTCTTACGGAAGCTCAAATGTGGTGCGTAACATGAAAATGAACCTCATTGGTTCTTACAGAAGCTCAAACGTGCCGCGTAACACACAAGAATGAACCTCATTGGTTCTTACGGAAGCTCAAACGTGGTGCGTAACATGAGAACAAACCTCATTGGTTCTTATGGAAGCTCAAACGTGGTGCGTAACAGGAGAATGAATCTCATTGGTTCTTACAGAAGCTCAAACGTGCCGCGTAACACACAAGAATGAACCTCATTGGTTCTTACGGAAGCTCAAACGTGGTGCGTAACATGAAAATGAACCTCATTGGTTCTTACAGAAGCTCAAACGTGCCGCGTAACACACAAGAATGAACCTCATTGGTTCTTACGGAAGCTCAAACGTGGTGCGTAACATGAAAATGAACCTCATTGGTTCTTAAGAAAGCTCAAACATGGTGCGTAACAGGAGAATAAACCTCATTGGTTCTTACGGAAGCTCAAATGTGGTGCGTAACATGAAAATGAACATCATTGGTTCTTACAGAAGCTCAAACATGGTGCGTAACACACAAGAATGAACCTCATTGGTTCTTACGGAAGCTCAAACGTGGTGCGTAACAGGAGAATGAATCTCATTGGTTCTTACAGAAGCTCAAACGTGGTGCGTAACATGAAAATTAACCTTATTGGTTCTTACAGAAGCTCAAACGTGGTGCGTAACATGA